TGGGTAAGGTTATATCTCCCTGTGATTTGAATTGCATTTCCTTGAAGATTAGTGACGTTGAGGGTCTGTCTGTCTCCAATCTCAGAGACAGACCCATTTAAAAAAAAAAAAAAGAAAATTAGTGATGTTGAGCATTTTTTCATATGTTTTTTGGCCATTTGTCTACCTTCTTTTGAAAAGCTTCTGTTCATGTCTTTTGCCCACTTTTTAATGGAGTTGTTTGTTTTCTTGCTGATTTGTTTGAGTAGATTCTGAATGTTAGCCTTTTGTCAGATGTATACTTTGCGAATATTTTCTCTCATTCTGTAGGTTGTCTATATACTCTGCTGATTATTTCCTTTGCTGTGCAAAAATTTTTAATTTAATTAAGTCCCATTTATTTATTATATTTTTGTTATTGCTATATTTACCTTTGGGGTCTTAGTCATAAATTCTTTGCCTAGGCCAACGTCTAGAAGAGTTTTTCTTACATTTTCTTGTAGAATTTTATGGTTTCATACCTTACATATAAGTCTTTTATCCACCTTGAATTAATTATTATATATGGCAAGAGATAGGGGTCCTGTTTCATTCTTCTGCATGTGGCTATCTAGTTTTCCCAGCACCATTTATTGAATAGGGCTTCCTTTCCCCAGTGTGTCTTGTCTGCTTTGTCAAACATCAGTTGGTTGTAGGTAGATGGTTTTATTTCTGGGGTCTCTATTCTGTTCCATAAATCTATGTCTCTATTTTTATACCAGTACCATGCTCTTTTGGTTTCTATAGCCCTGTAATATAATTTGAAGTCAGGTAATGTGATGCCTCCAGATTTGTTCTTTTTGCTTAAGATTGCTTTGGCTATTCAGGCTCTTTTTTGGTTACAAATGAAGCATAGAATTATTTTTTCTAGATCTGTGAAATATGACATTGGTATTTTGATGGAGATTACATTGAATTTGTAAATTGTTTTGGGCAGTATGGACATTTTAACAATGTTGATTCTACCAATTCATGAGTATGGAATGTATTTCCATTTGTTTGCATCATCTATGATTTCTTTCATCAGTGTTTTGTGGTTCTACTTGTAGAGATCTTTTATCTCTTTGGTTAAGCACATTCCTAGGTATAACTATTGTGAATGGTACTGAGTGCTTGATTTGACTCTCAGCTTTACTGTTATTAGAATATAGTAATGCTACTGATTTGTGTACATTGATTTTGTAATCTGAGACTTTGCTGAATTTATTTATCAATTCTAGGAGTCTTTGGTGGAGTCTTTAAGGTTTTCTAGATATGACATCATATCATCATGAACAGGAGTAGTTTGACCTCCTCTTTCCTGATTTGTATGCCCTTTATTTCTTTCTCTTGCCCAATTGCTCTGGCCAGGACTTCCAGTACTATTTGGAGTAGAAGTGGTGACAGTGGGCATCCTTGTCTTGTTCCAGTTCTTAGTGGAAATGCTTTCAACTTTTCCCCATTCTGTATGATGTTGGCTGTGGGTTTTGTCATATATGGCTTTTATAATTTTAAGGTATGTTCCTTCTATGCCTTGTTTATTTTTTTTAATTTTTTTTTATTTCAGCATATTATGAGGGTACCAATGTTTAGGTTATGTATAATGCCTTTGCTCTATGCCTACTTTGTTAAGGGTTTTTATCAAGAAAGGGTGTTGGATTCTATCAAATACTTCTTCTGTATCTATTTAGATGATTATGTTGTCTATGTTTTTGCTTCTGTTTATGTGGTGAATCACGTTTATTGATTTGCATGTGTTAAACTATTCTTGCATCCCTGGGATGAAACCCACTTGATCATGGTGAATTATCTTTTTTTTTTTTTGAGACAGAGTCTCACTCTGTTGCCCTGGCTAGAGTGAGTGCCATGGCATTAGCCTAGCTCACAGCAACCTCAAATTCCTGGGCTCAAGTGATCCTACTGCCTCAGCCTCCCGAGTAGCTGGGACTACAGGCATGCGCCACCATGCCCGGCTAATTTTTTTTGTATATTTTTAGTTGTCCAGATAATTTCTTTCTATTTTTTTTTTTGGTAGAGATGGGGTGTCGCTCTTGCTCAGGCTGGTCTCGAACTCCTGAGCTCAAACAATCCGCCCGCCTCGGCCTCCCAGAGTGCTAAGATTACAGGCGTGAGCCACCGCGCCCGGCTGTGAATTATCTTTTTGATTGCTGTTGAATTCAGTTTGTTGGTATTTTGTTGAAGGTTTTTGCATCTATTTTCATAAGGGATATTAGTCTGTAGTTTTTTTGTTGTGTCCTTTCCTGGCTTTGGTATCAAGATGATACTAGCATCACAGAATGAGTTAGGGAGAATTCCCTCCTTCTCCATGTTATGGAATAATTTCTGTAGGATAGGTACCAGTTCTTCTTTGTAGGTCTAGTAGAATTTGGGTGTGAATCCATCTGGTCCAGGGATTTTTTGGTTGGTAAATTTTTTATTACTGCTTTAATCTCACTGCTTATTATTATTCTGTTCAGGATTTCTATTTCTTCTTGATTCAGGCTTGGGAGGTTGTGTGTTTCCAGGAATTTATCCATTTCCTCTACATTTTCTAGTTTATGTGCATGGAGATTTTCATAGTATTCATGAATGATATTTTATATTTCTGTGGTATCAGTTGTAATGTCTCCTTTTTCATTTTTCATTGGGCTTATTTGGGTCCTTTCTCTTCTATTTCTGGTTAAGCTAGAGAGGTCTATTGATTTTGTTTATCTTTTCAAGGAACCAACTTTTTGTTTAATTGATCCTTTTTATTTTTGTTTGTTTGTTTCCATTTCATTTAGTTCTGCTCTGAGCGTTCTTGTTTCTTTTCTTCTGCTAGCTTTGGGTTTGGTTTATTCTTCTTTTTCTAGTTGGTTTAGATGTGGCATTAGGTTGTTAATTTGGAATCTTTCTGTCTTTTTGATGTAAGCATTTAAGGCTATGAATTTTCCTCTTAACACTACTATTGTGATATCCCATAGATTTTGGGTGCTTGTGTCATGATTGTCGTTCACTTTGAAAAATCTTTTGATTTCCATCTTAATTTTGTCATTGACCCAAGGATCGTTCAGCAGCTGGTTGTTTAATTTCCATGAATTTGTGTAGATTTGAGAGTTCCTCTTGTAGTTGATTTCTAGTTTTATTATACTGTGATCTGAGAAAATATGTGGAATGATTTCTTTTTCTGAATTTGCTGAGACTAACATATGATCTATCTTTTTTTGGACTAACATATGATCTATCTTGGAAAATGTTCCGTGTGCTGGAGAAGAATGTATATTCTGCAGTTTGGGGGTAGAGTGTTCTGTATTTATCTGTTAGGTCCATGTGTTCTAGAGTACTGTGTAAGTCCAGTGTTCCTTTGTTGATCTTCTGCCTTGAATATCAGCCCAGTTCTGTCAGCGGAGTGTTGAAGTCCCCAATAATTATGGTGTTGCTGTTTATTTCTTTGCCTAGATGGAGGAGTATTTTATTTATGAATCTGGGAGCTCCTGTCTTAGCTGCATATATATTAGTGTTGTTATATCTTCTTGCTAAATTACTCCCTTTATCATTATATAATGACTGTCTTTGTCTTTTTTTTTAACCATTGTTATTAATAATTTAAAGTCTATTTTATCTGATATGGGAATAGCTATTCCTGCTCACTTTTAGTTTTCATTCACATGCAATATTTTTTTCCATCCCTTTACCTTGAGTCTATGAGTATCCATGCAAGTTTCTTGGAGACAGCAGATACTCAGGGTGTGTTTTTTCATCCATTCAGCCACTCTGTATCTTTTAAAAGGAGCAGTAAGACTGTTTACATTCAATGTTAGTATTGCCCTCTGAGAGCATTCTGATGCCTCTCTGGGGAAAACATCCTGTACACACAAACTGACTAGGAACTAGAACAAGCAGATGTTAAGAAGTTCTGTAAGTTGGAACTTTTCATTCTATCCAAAATGGAAATGGGTGTTCAAAAAACTTACACCCTCTGTTCAGTCCAAAAAGCTATCTTGAATGTCATCCTATGTCATCTTAACTTGGGACATGTCTATCCTTTCTTTGTAACCTCCTAGGCCTCATTCAGTAAATATTTATTGGACACCAATTTTGTGGAAGGTCCATGCTAGCTTCTACACAAAGAGAAAGACAAGCTCAGCCCTTCCACCTCTAAGCCAAATTCCTGGCAGTGGGAGGCAAATCTTTCAAGAGGACACCACGGCCAACCTTGCTTCCAACCCTTGGAGCCAGACCCCTGGGTCAGACCTCTGATTCCCTCACTTCTACAAGCTGTTTAAATCCTCTGTGTCTTAGTTTCCTTGTGTATAAAAGCGGGTAATGATGAGGCCTACCTCAGAGGGCTGTGAGGAATGGCCTGAGTTAATGCCAGTGACGTGAGTTAGCATGGTCCCTGGCAGATAGGAAGTGCTCGAGCAATGTTAGCTATTCCTGTTAATTTGCTTTGTGTAATACTTCATTTCAAGATTAATAATCATATCCTTGGCTGGTAAAAGAGGCCAATGACACGAAAAATATTCCATGATATATTGTAACTTGAGTCTGTTTTTTTAAAGATGTTTTATTTCTAATTATTGTGGGTACATAATAGTTGCATGTATTTATGGGGTGCATGTGATGTTTTGATACAGGCATACAAGGTATAATGATCAAATCAGGGTAATTGGGATATCTAATTACCTCAAGCATTTATCATTTCTTTGTGTTAGGAACATTCCAATTCCACTCTTTTTGTTATTTTAAGGTATACCATAACTTATAATTGACTATAGTGTAACTTGAGTTTAAAAGCAAGTTACAAACTTTGATTTCTCTCTCTCAGAGAACTATAAGGATACACGTATAAAGAATGACAGAGGTTATTTCTGAGTTGTTTTTATCTTATCCTTTATGCTTAATCTATTTTCCAAGTTTTTTTTTTCACATGGGCATGTAAACAGAAAAAAAGTTATTTTAAAATATTAAACAACAATGAGAAAGACTTTAAGGATGCTATTTATCAGTCTTCTGTAGGCTAGAATTCAAGCTTCAGGAAGGCAGAGGCAGTGGCATCCCAGAATCCTACAAACCTCCCTTTTGTCAGTGTCTAGTTCTGTTTGGCCCAAAGCCAAAGTAAGATCTGGGCCAGGCTTGTTTTCCATCCTGGCCGCCTCTTTCAGTCCCTCCTGTCTCCCTTTGCAGGTGCCCATCTTCGGGGGCTGATTCCAGCTAGCGTGCACTGAGGGTCCATGGGGGCCCAGCACTGTGCGAGTGCTGACCAGGAAGAGAACTCTGCTCTGTAGCCTGCGGCCTCACACTGCCCCTGCTGACGGGCCTCTATGGTGGCCTGGAGCCCAGAGAGCATCCCTCCCTCCAGGCTTAGCTCATCCCCGCTGCTGGGACCCACTCCTGCAGAGTGCACACCTGCCTCTGCTCCATTTGGTACAGATGACATAATCCCTGTGCATCGGTCCTGACCTGTCCTCACGCACCAGTCGAGTCCTAGCAGAAAACAGCATTGTGCTCAAAAGGGCTTACGTGAATGAAGGGAGCACTCGAAGAGATATGGGCAGGGCTCAGGGACCAGGGGGCCTGCTGATGCCCGAGGACTAGGAACAGCAGGAAGCCGTGACTACCTCTAGGCCTGAAGGGGAAATAGTATTATTGAAGCTTATTGAAGATCCTCTGATTATCTGTCATCATAGAGTAACATAGCCATTGCTAGTCCTTGGCATCAAAGCAGAGTCAGAACGAGGAATAAATACCCTGACTTCTCCCTCCTCCTTCTCCTGTCATCTCCTGTCAGTGCCCATTTGGCTGAACTCACGAGCCAGACGGCAAAGATTCCCCAGTGATACAGTTCACCTGGCAATGTGTTATTCTCCATAGCAACATTTTATGTGTGGATCAAAGTTAAAATGTATACATCCTTAAGAACATTCTGGTAGAATGGCATCAATTTCAGGCCTGGGTAGACCAGTGGGGGAGATATTTCAGGTCAGACTTCTTCAAATTAGGCCTTCTAAGTAATTAATCCTCCATCCCTGCTCCTGTAGGTACTTGGAAAATGCTCATCAAAAGGCTAAATTAATGCACTGAAGCTTCATAGTTTTTCTTTTCCTTTCACATTTTATCATTTTATTCTGGTTAGATTTGAAACAAATCTGGAGGGCGAGGGGTGCTTGGTTGATTTGAGTACCTAGACTGTCTCTAGAGTGTCTTTATTTTTTATTTTCACAGCAGGCCTCAAAGACAGAGACGAGAAGCACATGGAGACATCCACATGCAAGGCAGGTATGGCCGTGAGCACACGAACACTGTTCTGCAGATGTTTCTTCCCTGCAGCACCCCAACCCCAAACCCTCACCAAGGGTCAGGAAGCAGAGAATGGGGGACAAGAGGAAGGGGAGCCTAAAAGGAGAAGATGGGGGGTCCTGGATCGAGCTGGGTGGGAGAGAGGATGACACAGCAATGGGGACTGGCTGTCCTCTTGACATGCCCGGCTTCCTCCCTTACATCTGTAAGCGGCTGTAGCACAGTCCTGATGCATTAGTTCAAATTCTTTGCCTGGGCCACTTTCTTTGCTACCAGCATCCTAACTTCCTCACTATAGAAGGACATTTCCTCTTCGGCTCACTAATGGCGATGGCGCCTTCCATTTGTGCACCGCTTCATGGTTTGAAATGTACTTCCACACACGTTCTTATTTAATCCTCACCGAGGCCCCCCTCCCCCACAGTTCGAAAGAGTTTCTTCAGGAAAGAAGAGAGCACAGAACGTAAAGGTGGACTGAGTAGTGCTAAAGGAGGAAACTGCGTATTGAGCACAAAATGCACCTGGGCAGTGGTTCCCCAGGTGTTGTCTCCTGGTCAGCAGCAGCAGCAGCATCTGGGACCTCGTTAGAGATGCAAATTCTTGGGCCTCAGCCCAGACCTACTCAATCTGAAGCTGCAGGGGGAGGGGGAGGGGGAGGTGCAGGAATCCAGGTTTTAACAAGCCCTCCAGGAGATGCTCTTGATGCCAAAGGTTGGGAGCCACCTTGCTGGGGAAAGGAAGTGTGTGCGGTGGTCCCCAGAGAAGACACAGGCCTGATGTCAGAAAAAGGAAGAGCTGGGAAGGTTGTCGATTGTTTCTGTGGATTCCAAAGACGGTGCTAACAAGTGAATGAAGAAGGTTCAAGGCCATTGCAGCACAGCTTGTAAAAGCAGTGAGCTATGATGATGCCACTGCCCTCTAGCTTGGGCAACAGAATGATACCCTGTCTCCAAAAAAAAAAAACAGAAAACTGTCAAACCTTATAAATATGTTACCTATTTAGAAAAAGGGAAAATAGATGAAAATGGCCCTAGGTGCAATTCAGAAGCAGCAGCACCAGAAGCTGCCTCCTGAGATGACAGCATGTTTGGCCTTTGGCTGGAGGGAAGCCCACCTCCCTCCACAGAGCAGGCGGCAACAGGGGTAAGAGACGCCAGGCTCAGCCCACACGAACTGCTCTCCCCTCCAGCTCAAGGCCCCAGAATGGCCGAGGCACTTTGCGGGTGTTCGGGCTTATTACTAAGACTGGAACCAGCCATTCTCAGACTTGGTTACACATTAGAATCATCAGGGAAGCTTTAAAAAATACCAATTTCCAGGCCCTCTTTCCCAACTGCCCAAATCAGAATCTCTGAGGCGGGGCCAGGTGTTGGAGTTTTTGAAGCTCCTCAGTCGTGGTTGAGAACCTTCGGGGTCCGTTCATTCGTCCAGAGAACTGGAGAAAGGAAGTAGCTTAAAAAAAGAAATAACACATCCCCTCAAGCCTGTCAAGAGCTAGTCAGGATGCGATGGCTTTTTATCTGGCTTGGCTGGAATACATCACCAATCTGTTTTTCCCCCTCGGCAGCCCAATTCTGAAACGAAGCCCTGACATCACCAAATCGCCTCTGACAAAGTCAGAGCAGCTTCTGAGGATAGACGACCATGATTTCAGCATGAGGCCTGGCTTCGGAGGTATGAGATGTGCATTCTCGGGGTGCCTTCTTTCTTCAGGTCCTTCCGTCTGTCGGCGTGCGGGAAATCAAGCCAAGGGACCACACGGCTGTGCCCTTTCTGTCAGGCCTGCCTTGGCTGTGCTTGGTGGACAAGGCGCCAAGCCCACCTATCTTCCGAGCACGCGCTCCCCCCACCCTGGGCTCTGCTGAGCCCATTCCCAGGAGGCGCATGCTGACTGACGGTGGCCAGGCTGGGCCAGCCAGCTGTCCTCGGGCCACTGCTCCTGACAAGATGGCTCAGGATCAGCGAGGCCAGCAGCTGGCCGGCCGTGGGCAGGGCAAGGGGAAGACGGGGAAGCTGCAGCCCAAAGCTACCTCCTGAAAATGCTCTGAAATTACAACCCTTGCACTAAATTTGTTCCCCTCTGAGAGCTGGCAGACCGAATTCGGGGTATGTATCTAAGGGCAGAGTGTGGTTTTAATTACATGAAAATAGCTTGAGAAAATAATGACTTAGTGCGGAAGAGTGGCAAAGCCCTCTGAAGCTTAGTCTGCAGCTGCTGGTTTCAGCCCTCTTAGTGTCAAATAGGATTTTCATCTTTATGGGTTTATTTTCTTGGAAAAAAAATATTTATTTTAAAAATCATTCTCTTGCCTTTTCTTTCATCCACTCACCTTTGCCCAGACAATAAATAGGCCCCAGAAGGAAGTCTCTATCCAGACCATAATCTGCTGCTGTCGGATCCAAACCCACCTGTTCGCTCCATGGTGATTTGAGGGTGTTCCGTGTCTGCCTCTCGGCCTGAAATCAGGGATGAAAAGGGGCAGGAGTCTATTCCCTTTATTATGCTTTCTTACTATTTATTGATATTAAGGTTTTTTGGCCCAGAAATGACAAAAAATAAATCACGTTTTTAAGGCTATCCTGGTTCATCACATCTCCCCTGGAAGCTCCTCCATCGAGTAGCAAAGAAGCAGATCTGTGGGTTTGGCAAAGGACCTGAATACGACTTCAGTCCTGGGCGCCTATTCCCAAGCAATGCCTTTGTCATGGCCATACAAGAGCCACAGCTTCCATGATGAAAAAGTGTGCCCAGTCAGTAGAGAAATACAGAAAATAAAGTGGGTGGCCTCATGCTAAAGAGTAAGTCGATTACTCCTTAGACCAGACCCAGCCTTCAACCTAGGTCATACCTTTAGATGAACATATGCAACCAAGGCAGAAAGCTATTTATTAACTTCATCATTTCAAAATCACCTGGATGATTCAAACTAAAAACAAAACAAAACAAAAAAATCCCCTTTTTTTCCTTTTGCTGGAATATTTCAGGGAGCCAGCCCATGAGTCCATCCTTTTATCTCTGGTGTGACTTCAGGTTGGCATGACCAAACCTTCAAATCTGACATAACATTGAGGTTCCATGGGAAATGCTCCTTTTGCCTATTTCTGCCACAGTAAAAGTCCAAGTAAAAAGAATGAATGCTGTAGGCATGCTCTGTCCCCAGGCCCTGCCATTCCTGTTGGTGTGGATGTGCAAGTGGAGAGCTTGGACAGCATCTCAGAGGTTGACATGGTAAGTGCTTCTCTGACCCGGACGTGGGCAGAGGGATTCCCATGGCCTTCCCCAGGCCAGGAGCTCCAGGCACCTGAATTCCCTTGGTCTACAACTGCCCTAGGAGGTGGGAGTTCCCACACTCATTTTACAGATGGCTCAGAGAGATTCTCCCAAAGCCACCAAACTGAGATGATACAGAGCCAGATGACAAATGTGATCTTCCCCCTCAGCGCCCAGGCTCTTACTACCTGGATACATTCTCTGGGCAAAGGTGCTCAAATGTGAGCAACGGGGTCCCAGGTTGCAGCTGCCAAGTAGCCAGACACATCTTACTCCTGTGGATTCTGTGCCTGGCTGTGAAAATGCAGAAGGAACACAAGAGTGTTCCTTTGTTTTCTTTTTGGTGGGTTCAGATAAAAAATGGAACATTCTACAACTCCTCCACTTGCAGGACATTTTAGGGCCTTACCTTTAGAAGCAGACCTGAGACGAGCATTCTAGCGTAATTTATTTGGAGGTGATCCTGGGAAACACAGGAACAGAGTGGGGAAGTGAGACAGGAGGGAAAGCAGCAGAGTTGCCGTGCTAGCAAGCCAGTAACTACTGCAGAACTCAGTCCCACCAGGGTGCTCGGGAGTCAGCAAAGAACACATCTCAGGGCTATCCCAAGTCAGGAGCAAGGGATCTGGGGTATTTATCCACCACCCCCTCTCTATAGCTGAGTGCTGTTCACAGGCGTTAACTCTCTGGCACTTGTGGCTTCAGCCCCAGGTGTTGGCAGTGGCAGCCTCCTCAGTATAGGGGGCAAATGCCAGGGGCTGCGGGAGGGGCTCAGACCCAGTCGCCCTGTCTGCCACAGGCCGCTTGCTGAGCTCCTCCCCCACAGGGTTCTCTTCCTCCTACCGTAGCAAACTGGGCACTAGAAGCAAGACCTCACTCGGCTCAGTTTCATTCCCCAGCCAGGTGATGGCTCCACAGGAGCACGGAATCTCCTGCCCGCACCCAGTGGGTTTGTGTGTGTCTGGGGTTCCCTCTCTGCCCCTCTGCCCGCAGGACTTCACAATGACCCTCTACCTGAGGCACTACTGGAAGGACGAGAGGCTGTCTTTTCCCAGCACCAACAACCTCAGCATGACATTCGATGGCCGGCTGGTGAAGAAGATCTGGGTCCCCGACATGTTTTTCGTGCACTCTAAGCGCTCCTTCATCCACGACACCACCACGGACAACGTCATGCTGCGCGTGCAGCCAGACGGGAAAGTGCTCTACAGCCTCAGGTAGGGAGAAGCGCGAGTCATTCCTCTTAACCAAGAAAAGCGTTGGTTTCACAGCAGCAATTTTGCATTTTGGCTCTGAACATCTCACTTCTAACTTTTCAGTAGCTGCCAACTTCTCAACATCAAGGAAAACTAACTTTAATCTGAGTGGAAATTTTAAAGAATTACTCAGTCTCGAAAATACATTTGGGAAATTTCTCGAGCTGATACTTATGATTTATGCCCTATCCTGTATGTTATATTTCAGTAATAAAGAAGTTTATTTCTCTAGTAGGAGTCAGAAAAATAGAAAACACATTCTCAAAGACTGGCCTCCTCCAGTCTCTCTGATTTCCACTTTTCGGGTACATTTTAGAACTTCGGTTAAAAAAAAAATGTCTTTTGCTCCACCTGGCCAGCCACAGGCATATTTTCTATCCTTTCTCCCCAGTGTCCTACTTGAGAAACTATGGGGACGCTGGGCTACTTTATGACTTGAAGTGGCATTCTGAGCATCACTTTTAAAATATAAAGAATAAAATCTTTTCTTCTCAGTAGCTCAGATGTCTTAGAAATGTTTAATTGCTCATTAAGCCTGACCTGGGGAAGCTTTCCTTAATCCCAGCACCGCAGCGTGGCTTCCAGGCAGTGGGGCCGGCTTTAGAAACTCCTGGTGCTCCCCTCCGTGGAGGGGTGTGGAGGTGAGCCGCGGCCTTCACGGAGAAGCGACGCGGTCACTCACCGTGGTTGAGTGCTTCTGTGCTGTGCGGATGGTGCATTTCGGTTTCACGGGCTTTGCTTTGGCTCACGTGCTGGTGAATGGTGATGACGATTCTTCACACCAATGTCTAGGTAGGGGTTCCTGGGCAGTTGCACAGCCTATCTTCAGAATCAGATATCTTCAATATCACAATATTGAAGCTGAATTTCTGTCCCCATTGTTTAAAGGAATATTTATAAAGACCCCTTAATCTTTATCCTGACCTGGAACCCGATTAGATAGGTACCAGACACAGAGTGGAGTTATAGGATTTTCATCTTCAAGGCTTAAACGGGTCAAGAATGTGCAACTCCTGCCCCAAGCCACATTGAGCTCGTTCTGCCTGAAGCCCTCATTCCTGAGGCAGGTTGTCAAGGCATCTTAAGGCTCAAAACCACCAAACACAAGAACACAACTCAATGGCACCACCAGGGCTGCAGAGAACTACACCATAACACACATGGCCATTGGTGTGCTAGTAAATGTTTAACAATTGGTTATCTGGGGCAAAAGTATGCATACATATGCATACATACGTTTATTGTAAACATTACTGATAGAAAGGATGTATAGCATATGGTTTACAAATGAAATTAAACATATAATACTCTTTATTATAAATTCCATATACTTATAACTTGAGCATGATTTCCTATTTCTTATAAAAACCACTATCAGTTTTATAATTATATCATTGACAATAATTCTACAAAGTCAGACTATGAATAAATGTTTGTAAGTATTTGCTTGCTTACATGATTGACAAATGAATGTAGATCCTGGTGAATGTTGGTTGATGTTTTCATTTACATTAAAAGGCAAAAGTGAAACAATGAAGAACTGGGTAGGAATTTTACTCATTTATTAAAGACATAAGCAATGTCTTTGCTGACTTGGATAATGACTTTCAAAGATTGGAAAAGAATATTTTCTCAACATTTTGCACTATTCACGATATAATGGTGATAGCCATAACATATTTTAAGGTTTAATCTACTTTCTTAAGTCTAAATAATCAATAAAACAATAAATCAAGCCCTAATTTGTAGAGTTTGCCATTTCTGTAGTATAAATACTCCCATCATGGCTGGTTTCAAGCTACCAGCCGCTGATGTCACTGAATGCAGAGTTAAGAAGAAATCTCACATGGCAACACACCATTATGCAGTATTTCTACCACACAGATGCAATAAATGTAAATGACTTCAGGAGTATAGATAATATTAAAATGTAGTAAAATAAGAAGCGATAAGTTTTGAGTATTTATTACTTTTGTTTTGAATGTACCATTTAATTTTAATTTTTAATAATGACTGTGTTTAACAACTGGCTCGCAACCTTCCTTAAAATCTAGCAGTCAGATCCCGAGAGCCCTAGAAGTCTAGCCCAGCGAACCACTGGATGTCACCACAAGAGGCAGAACAGAGGAAACAAGGGAGTGGAACATCTACGTGTTCAGAATTGAAATCCTCAGTGAGCCTCACCCACCAGGGAAAACACCTCCTTTCCACCCCTGTGCCCAAAAATAGATGAGTTGAGTTCTCATTGCAAATAAAATTATGCTTTTGTTTTATTTAAATAAAAAATAGAGGCTTAAGTTTCTGAGGACTACTACTTTGAAATTTACTTTAGAGAAAACATGGAGTACTTGGGTATTGTCAACTCTGTAAGCAACTGGTCGGCTCCTAAAATATTCACTGATATGTCATCCTCTCAATTCATTCACTCATGGATTCATTCAACAGATTTTTAAGAGCCTTCTGGGTGCTGGGGTGGCCCCCCAGAGTTGTGCAAATGAAAGCCCTGCCAGGTCCTTTCGCAAGCTCTGGGGACATAAAGGCAAATGATATAAGCTTACCACCCTTAGCGTAACTGCAGGCTAGTGGAGGAGACAGGCATGGAACCAAACGAGGTACGTACAACGCAGCAGGCGGAGGGGCAGGAAACTACAGGTAACAGGATAGTGAGATCGAAGTTTCCTAGGCGCAAACATACAATAAAAAAGTGAAATTTACAAGTGAGATGCTCCATTACACGAGGTAGATTTTACTAAGGAAGTGTTGAAAAACCAGTTCCGTGACTTTTGAACTCCTAATAAACTGTAAGATATAAAAGAGTCAGTGATGCAGGGAGGAAGAAAGGATTTGTGAGCTTTTTCTTTGGAGGGAGTTATGAGCATGCCATGAGTGGGCCTTTACTGGGACCACCTGGAGAGCTCGGGGCGGGTGTGTCTACAGCTGGGGACATTGTGCAGTTCCAGGGAGAGAGAAGAGCTATCTGACCACCTGGGAGCAGAGCCAGAAATTTTTGCTGTGGTGGGATCCGTCTGTGCTCCCAGGGTTTTTGGGAACAGTCAAGTGTGTTCTGAGTGGATGGTGGGTGAACCAAGAGTGGAGAATGGAAGAATGGAAACCTGCAGCCTGGAGGTGCCAGCTATGGGAAAGAGGAAGCCAGGAAAGGAAGCATCAGCTGCCACCAGGTGGCAGGCCCCGAGCACAAAGCCACCCAGCCAGAGACTGTCCTGCCCCACTTCCCTCTCTCCTGCACTCCCACCTGTGCCAGCGGTGATTCGAGTTGGGCAGAAACTGACCACTCCAATGCCAACTTTGTGTCTTAGCTGAGGAAGGAGAACAGAAGTCTTAATTTGAATGAAGTTTGAAGCATTGATTAATATCTCAGACAAAAATTTTAATTTTTGAGTTGAGATGTGGTTTGTGACTTAGGAGGGTTTTGACTGTTATATGAGGATGAGCAGAAAAGAGCCACAGGACCTGCCAAGTTTCTGTCCAGGGCAAGGGAAGATCCCTTCCGATGACTCAATTTAAAGAGACTTGGGAAACAAAAATAAACATGGGTTTTGATTACATCACCAATGCTTGTTCTATATATAGGTTATGAGTGGAAAAGCATCAAGTCAGGCTGGAAAGACTTCATCTGATGATGTCTGTGATTCTAAAAACTAATGCGAAGGAGAGATATTCAAGCCTCTTGTTCGTAGCAAAGAATCTCCTGCATTTGACGCTTCATGTCCCTAAAGTTAGCTCCACATGTCCCCAAACTTGGCTTCTAGCGTTCATGCTGATGGTGACATCAGGCATAGTTATGTGATGATGTACTCACAGAAAGGGAAGCCCACACGCAAGGCATCCAAGTCAGCTGCCAGCCTGACAGCACCCCACACCCCCACGTTCCCTATTTATCAGGCTCTCCAGGGGCCAGAAGCCTACCCAGCTGCTGGCAATCCCAAATGCCTTGAAGAACGCCACCATTCTACCTCAAAGTAGCGGAAAAAAATGAATCAATTATTTGGGTAATCCCATTTCAAGAATGCTCTTTTCCGTGAAATTTCCATTTAAATTAAGTGGTTTTTTTTCTTTTGGGCCATGAATTATCCAGGTCATTTCCACAACTTATACATAGCAAATCTTGTGTGGCTGAAGGAAAAATAGTACATTCAGTACCAGCCAATGACTGTTAATCACGTCCTGCCATGAAATTCCGCACCAATGGGAGACGTTTCGTCTACGACTAATGATCTGTTTGTTCTTTTTTTTTTTGAGACAGAGTCTCACTGTGTTGCCTGGGCTACAAGTGCCGTGGCGTCATCTTAGCTCACAGCAACCTCAAACTCCTGGGCTCAAGTGATCCTCCTGCCTCAGCCTCCCAAGTAGCTGGGACTACAGGCATGCGCCACCATGCCTGGCTAGTTTTTTCTATATATTTTTAATTGTCCAATTAATTTCTTTCTAATTTTTAGTAGAGACGGGGTCTCGCTCTTGCTCAGGCTGGTTTCGAACTCCTGAGCTCAAACAAGATCTGTTTGTTCTTTGATGCAGAAGCCTGTCTTCCTTCGTAAACTCTGAAACAAAACCACCAATGCCACCAAGCGCTTGCGCGTTAGCACAATAAGATCATTCAGTGTTTCTCCATTACTGTGATCTCCATGGAATGACCCATTAAAAACACAAAACCCACTAGTAGATATTATTATCAATATAAAAATATCAGCATTGATATAATATAAAGATAGAATAGAGTAGAACAGAAAGAAGTGCTCAGTTTGGCAACTGGCATAAGGGTGCACAGCAGTGCACATGATATTGAATATCAATAAAATCAATAAAAGAACAGAAGAACTTGTTCTTACCTAAAACAGGAGAACAATATATGCTCCTAAGGCTTCTTTTAAGAAACCATATCATGTGAGTTTTTATTTCAATTGTTATATCAGTTGAGACCACTGCTTCTTTAAAATGTTGAATGTGATAAGAGTTAGCAGAGACATTCTATTTGCCTCACACTGACCCTGGGGTTAAACATAAATACCTGAGTACTCCAACGAGGGTATCGCTCATCAGCTACTTATCTAAATCCTGACGTATTGCTTATGAATTTTGAGAAGGAGGCAGTTATCATACTGGCAGGAAGCAGAGGCCTTTTCTATTTGTTTTATCATTTTGCACCTGTCTTTGGCAAGCTCTGAACCCTTGGATTTTGTCTTTTTGTTTCCAGGGTTACGGTGACTGCAATGTGCAACATGGACTTCAGCCGATTCCCCCTGGACACACAAACGTGCTCGCTTGAAATTGAAAGCTGTGAGTAGACTTGTGCCCACGCGTCTGTGCGCAGCTCCTTATCATTCTAAACACCTCTAGCTCTCAGTAGCAGGAACAGCGTGTGTTTCTCATGCAGGACAATGCTTTTAAAGTGATTTTCTAGATTGAAGCTAAGACTAGGGTAATTTTAAAAATCAGGGGACTAAAATTTGGGACTAAAATCTTCAATTCCCATAGCTGACCTTTTTACTGCCCTGTGGCAATGGTTTTAAACTTTGTTCTATGGAACCTGGAGTTTTTAAGAGTTCCCCATGGCAACTTCTTGAGGAGGAGGAGTAGAGGGCGGAGCAAATGTGAGTCTCCTTCCAAGCCCTAGGCCCAACACACACACACACACACACACACACACACACACACACACACACACACACACACACACACACAC